CCGAGAGAGGCGTCGAGCAGGGAGCTGCATGACTTCTATCTTCTCCAGCCATTCCCCCTTCACCTTCCCCTATGGGAAATCGCCATTTTTATGCTGATCATTTTTCTTCTCGTCAACTTCTCCAGTGAGTCTTATATTTCGTTAAACGTCGCTTCAAAGGAGGAGAAAAAAATTTTTTTTGGCCTTAGTTAGGAGGAATTAGAAATTTTTAGACTTTTTGCATGCAACTTCCGTAGTGTCCAAAAAATACCGCCCTCTAGCGGCTGGCAGTGATGTCCGTTTTGAGGATTTAGGTATGGATCGAAAGCTCTCGACGAGCTGAGCAGATATCTTCTTCTCGATTTTCGAAATTTTCGGATTTTTATGCCATTTACTAACTTTTTTTGCGAAATTGGCCCCATTTCCGAGGCTTTTTTGCCATGCAAGTGTTTTTAACAAAAACCCCCATTTTCCAAAATTTTTTCATCTTTGCTGGCAGCCGAGGGTCGGCTTTTTGAAAGGTATGTGAGAAAAGACAGCTTGGATGAGGCTGGAGTCGATTAAATTGAACTTTTGCACAAAATTGCGCGATTTTTGTCCATAAACGATCAAAATCGGGTTAAAAATTCGAAGATTTTGAAAATCGGAAAGTAGATATCTGCTCAGCTCGCCCAAGGGCTTTCGATCCATACCTTAATCGTCAAAATCGAACACCACTGCCGATCTCTAGAGGCTGGTTTTTGGGACACCCAGTATAAGGCAATATTGCCCCCCCGTTAAGCGACCTTTACCTCAGTTTCATGGTTAGCAGAGATATATTTTTAGGGGATATGGATAAGGTGCCGATCGGCCGCTGGAATGAGCATCGAGGTGGGGGAAGGGTGGGAAAGGATTGTCGATGTCTTCACGAAACCCCACCTCCCCCCAATGCCAATATTGTTGATGTCCATATTCGAGGCATCTACTACGAATCCAGGGACGTCATCTCACGTGCGTTTTTTTTTGTTTCTTGATTGCTAGTAGAGTACAGGGTGGGCCAAAAAAAAAAAAGTAAAGTTTGGGCCAAATTATCTCGCGAACGGAAACGAATCGGACCATGGTTACCTTGCCAGAATGCTTAAATATGCTGGGCATGAAGAAATAACACAAGTTGTTTTTTTAAGATTTTTGACGCCACCAATGGGTCGTTAAAATTTTTGAACATTTTGTAAAAGTAGAAAACTTTGATGCGATAAAGTATGGGACTTTTGATGAGTTAGCGGGACTTCAAGGATATCAAAATGAAGATCTTGGAATGCGCTATCAAACGCGTGGTAAAGAATTTTGATCGGTTTAACTAGCTGTCAATAGGAGCGTTCGGAAAATCCGTACTTTTCCGGAATGGGCGCCTCCGAATTGACCATAAAAAGCACCTTGTTGCCCAAATTGTTTGTACGTATTACATGCAATCCTGTTTGCCAAAGATAACCATGCTAGAATTTTAACTAAATGAGCCTAGAACTTACAGATTCCGTCGAATTGGCAAAGTGCCAAAAAATTTTTTGATCGCGATTTGAAAATTTTTGATGCCAAAAGTTAGTAGTTTATATTTATTGCTAATTGCAAAATATCAGCAAGATCGGATGGTAAAGTAATTTTATATAGAATTATTTCCCCAAAAAGTACGGATTTTCCGAACGCTCCTATTGACGGCTAGTTAAACCGATCGAAATTCTTTACCACGTTTGATAGCGCATTCCAAGATCTTCATTTTGATATCCTTGAAGTCCCGCTAACTCATCAAAAGTCCCATACTTTATCGCATCAAAGTTTTCTACTTTTACAAAAATGTACCGTAATTTTTAACGACCCATTGGTCGTCAAAAATCTTAAAAAAACAACTTTTGTTATTTCTTCATACCCAGCATATTTGAGCATTCTGGCAAGGTAACCATGGTCCGATTCGTACCTTCCGTTCGCGAGCCAAGGGCCCAAACTTTACTTAAGTTTGGCCCACCCTGTACAGGGTGCGTCAAAAAAAAGAACGAAGTTTGCACTGAAATATCTCTCGAACGGAAACGAATCGGACCATGGTGACCTTGCCGGAATGCTTAAATATGCTGGGCATGAAGAAATAACACAAGTTGTTTTTTAGATTTTTGACGACCAGTAGGTCGTTAAAAAGTTTTGAACATTTTTGAAAAAGTAAAAAACTTTGAAGCGATAAAATATGGAACTTTTTATTAGTTAGGGGGATGTTAAGGGTATCAAAATGAAGCTCTCGGAGTGCGCTATCGAACCAGTGGTAAAGGAGTTTGATCGGTTTAACTAGCCGTCAATAGGAGTCTTCGGAAAATCCGGACTTTCCGGGAATCAGCGATTCCGAGTTGACCATAAAAAGCCTATCGCCCTCATAACTTTTTGTGTTGATTAAATTTAATGCTGTTTGCCAAAGCTAGTCATGCTACGATTTTAACTAAATTAAAGTAAAACTTGCCGTTTCGACCGCCTTCGCAGAATGCCTAAAAAAATTTTTGATCGGGATTTTGAAAATCTTGATGCCAAAAGTTAGTAGTTATTTATATATTGCTAGCTGCAAATTATCAGAAAGATCGGATGGTAAGAAAATTTTATCTGGAATTTTTTTCTTCAAAAAGTCCGGATTTTCCGAAGACTCCTATTGACGGCTAGTTAAACCGATCAAACTCCTTTACCACTGGTTCGATAGCGCACTCCGAGAGCTTCATTTTGCTACCCTTAACATCCCCCTAACTAATAAAAAGTTCCATATTTTATCGCTTCAAAGTTTTTTACTTTTTCAAAAATGTTCAAAACTTTTTAACGACCCACTGGTCGTCAAAAATCTTAAAAACAAAACTTGTGTTATTTCTTCATGCCCAGCATATTTAAGCATTCCGGCAAGGTAACGATGGTCCGATTCGTTTCCGTTCAAGAGATATTTCAGTGCAAACTTCGTTCTTTTTTTTGACGCACCCTGTATAAAAAATTTCATTAATTTCAAAAATTCGAAAATTTTGCCCTTTTTGGCCATTTTTCATATACATTTTTCACCGAAAACAACTTTTTCCCTTAGGGTCCAATTTTGCAAGTGTAACCTGCGGACCTGTTTCTAAATGGTTTTTTACTATTCCTATACTCACAAACTATACAAAATTTTATCGAAATATGCCAAAAATATCGATGTTTCGACCAAAAATGGCCGGTTTTTGGCCAAAATTTCGCCTTACTGAAAATTTTCGATAGTTTTCTAATATGGTTACATTTTATGAAAAACACGATTAAAACTCTGGCTGTTAGGTTACTAGACATTTCTAGATCAGACAAAAATTTCGCCTCCCCCCTCCGATAATGCGAAAGAACCCGGCGTTATTTTCAGATGCTCTCCAACGTGTCTACCCGCTCCTCGTCGCCAATTCTCAATATATTCTGCCGGGTTGCTGCTGTCTGATTGCCATTTTTGCCTATATAAAGTGCATCTTTTCGTAGCCACCATTATCGATTCCCGAGAAGAGCAGAAGAGACTTCCCGCTTACCCAGAACGTCCGCCTAACTGGTTTTTTATTTCCGTCGGACTCTGTCTCTCTCTCTCTCGCTCTCTCTATATCTCTCCCTCTCTCTCTATATCTCTTCCTCTCTCTCACTCTCTCTATCTCTCGCTCTCTCTATATATATATCTCTCCCCTCCCTCTCTCTCTCTCTCTCTCTCTCTCTCCCTCTCTCTCTCTGTCTCCCTCTCTCTCACTCTCTCTCTTCTATCTCTCTCTCTCTCTGTCTCCCTCTCTCTCACTCTCTCTCTCTCTTTCCCTCTCTCTCACTCTCTCTCTCTCTCCCTCTCTCTCTGTCTCTCTCTCGCTATATCTCTCCCTCTGTGTGTGACCCTCACTCAATTACAGTGCATTTTTCATTCATTCGACCACTATCATTTATTTAGAAGCTAAAACCACAAATTATAAATAAATTATCACAACATTTATTGATGGCCAAAAAGCGGAGCCTCAACGAGGACCTCATTGTAGATCCTTAAAAACAGCAATTGAATCGGGGCCCAAAGAAGCCGCCCGAACGACTGAAAAAAACCAAGGATGGACACGTTGTACAGGTACATCAGGACGACAAGGAACCCGTGGCACATCTGCTGAATTACCACTTCTTCCATCGGGGGCATATGACTCGTGGCCCAGGAGATGAGCAGTTGGATCAGGTACACAAAGCCCTCCTTCAAAAACTGAAAGTGCAATGTATAATGAATGTTATAGCCTGGCAGATAGAGAGAGAGAGAGAGAGCGCGAGAGAGAGCGAGAGAGAGAGAGACAGAGAGAGAGAAGAAGAGAGAGAGAGAGAGAGAGAGAGAGAGGGAGACAGAGAGAGCGAGGGGAGACAGAGAGAGGGAGAGAGATAGAAAGAGAGAGAGATAGAGAGAGAGAGAGGAGAGAGAGAGAGAGAGAGAGAGCGACAGACTTACGTCAACTTCAGACCATTTCGAGTGGAGCGAGGCAGAGGCCTTTTCTAGGAATGTGGGCGGTGGAGTGGGGTGTCGAACCTCCCGGAGCGCGGCTTGGGAAAGGGCAAGCTACTAACCGCAGACGTTATTTTACTGCAACCAAAGGTCATGAGAATAATCCAGTGGTTTACCTACCGCGTCCGGAATTCCATGCGCTTTGCCCTTTTGCAGTGCCCTTTCGATGTCTGCGTACATCTAGAACAAAAAAAATAGAATCGGTTCGAGCGCAGGTGAATTGACAATAAAATTACAGTACCTCTTCCATGTGGCGGCGCTGGACAACCAAGAGGTGGCGCGCCTGCTGAAATGAGAAATCACCCTTCCTTAAAATTCAAAGTACCTGCTCTTCGATCGTGGCATCATCGCGCCACCCGACGAATACACCGTTCTAAACGCAGGTCCTTTTCAGACATTTCCAAGAGGGGTATACCTCTTGAATATCAATTTCGGACGACAATTCGGCATCGGGGAGCGTGACACGCATCACTGCGTCCGATGCTGCCACCATCAGTGGGGGCATCCCCTAAAATAAAATATATCGTGGAAAGATTGCCTCGCATAACGCACCGGGAGCCAACGGAGAATTAGGGAAACGATCGTCACCTTGTTGGCCTAAAATCATGTGTCACTATCCCTTTAAACTGATCACCAACCATTGTCTTATCCTCCAATCATCACGATCGATTTGTCATCGGTTGATTCCGTATTAGCTGGGCACGTGTGGTTTGTGGAAATCCACAAAATCATGTGTCGCTATCCCCTTTAAACTGATCACCAACCCCATTTCTTATCCTCAATCATCACGATCGATTGGCCATCGGTTGATTCCGTATTAGCTGGGCACGTGGTTTTGTGGAAATCCTAAAATCATGTGTCACTATCCCTTTAAACTGATCACCAACCATTTTCTTATCCTCAATCATCACGATCGATTGGCCATCGGTTGATTCCCGTAATAGCTGGGCACGTGGTTTTGTGGAAATCCTAAAATCATGTGTCACCTATCCCTTTAAACTGATCACCAACCATTGTCTTATCCTCAATCATCACGATCGATTGGCCATCGGTTGATTCCGTATTAGCTGGGCACGTGGTTTTGTGGAAATCCTAAAATCATGTGTCACTATCCCTTTAAACTGATCACCAACCATTTTCTTATCCTCAATCATCACGATCGATTGGCCATCGGTTGATTCCGTATTAGCTGGGCACGTGGTTTTGTGGAAATCCTAAAAATCATGTGTCACTATCCCCAACTGATCACCAACCATTTTCATCCCCTAATCAATTGATCGATTTCTGGCTTACTTCCGGTTGATATCCGGTATTAGCTGGGCAATGGTTTTGTGGAAATCCTAAAATCATGTGGTCACTATCCCTTTAAACTGATCACCAACCATTTTCTTATCCTCAATCATCACGATCGATTGGCCATCGGTTGATTCCAAATAGCTGGGCATGTCGTCTTGTGGAAATCCTAAAAATCATGTGTCATCATCCCTTTAAACTGATCACCAACCATTTTCTTATCCTCAATCATCACGATCGATTGGCCATCGGTTGATTCCGTAATAGCTATGTCGTCTTGTGGAAATCCTAAATCATGTGTCACTATCCCTTTAAACTGATCACCAACCGTTTCTTTTTATCCCTCAATCATCACGATCGATTGGCCATCGGTTGATTCCGTATTAGCTGGGCACGGTTTCCGGAAATCCTAAAATCATGTGTCACTATCCCTTTAAACTGATCACCAACCATTTTCTTATCCTCAATCATCACGATCGATTGGCCATCGGTTGATTCCGTATTAGCTGGGCACGGTTCTGTGGAAATCCTAAAATCATGTGTCACTATCCCTTTAAACTGATCACCAACCATTTCTCTTATCCTCAATCATCACGATCGATTGGCCAATGGTTGACTGATTCCTTCCGTATTAGCTGGGCATGTCGTCTTGTGGAATCTAAAAATCATGCGTGTCACTATCCCTTAAACTGATCACCAACCATTTCTTATCCTCAATCATCACGATCGATTGGCCAATGGTTGATTCCGTATTAGCTGGGCATGTCGTCTTTGTGGAAATCCTAAAATCATGTGTCACTATCCCTTTAAACTGATCACTCAACCATTTTCTATTATCCTCAATCATCATTGAACGATTTAATAATGGTTGATTTTCCGTATTAGCTGGGCATGTCGTCTTGTGGAAATCCTAAAATCATGTGTCACTATCCCTTTAAACTGATCACCAACCATTTTCTTATCCTCAATCATCACGATCGATTGGCCATCGGTTGATTCCCTATTAGTTGGCACGTGTTTTGTGGAAATCCTAAAATCATGTGTCACTATCCTTTAAACTGATCACCAACCATTTCTTATCCTCAATCATCACGATCGATTGGCCATCGGTTGATTCCGTACAGCTGGGCATGTCGTCTCTGCGGAAATCCCAAAATCATGTGTCACTATCCTTTAAACTGATCACCAACCATTTCTTATCCTCAATCATCACGATCGATTGGCCATCGGTTGATTCCGAATTAGCTGGGCATGTCGTCTTGTGGAAATCCTAAAATCATGTGTCACTATCCCTTTAAACTGATCACCAACCATTTTCTTCTTATCCTCAATCATCACGATCGATTGGCCATCGGTTGATTCCGTAATAGCTGGGCATGTCGTCTTGTGGAAATCCTAAAATCATGTGTCACTATCCCTTTAAACTGATCACCAACCATTTTCTTATCCTCTCAATCATCACGATCGATTGGCCATCGGTTGACCTGTATTAGCTGGGCAAGCACGGTTTTGTGGAAATCCTAAAATCATGTGTCACTATCCCTTTAAACTGATCACCAACCATTTTCTTATCCTCAATCATCACGATCGATTGGCCAACGGTTGATTCCGTATTAGCTGGGCATGTCGTCTTGTGGAAATCCTAAAAATCATGTGTCACTATCCCTTTAAACTTGGAAGATCAACAACCATTTTCTTATCCTTAATCATCACGATCGATTGGCCATCGGTTGATTCCGTATTAGCTGGGTACGTGGTTTTGTGGAAATCCTAAAATCATGTGCTACTATCCCTTTAAACTGATCACCAACCATTTTCTTATCCTCCCAATCATCACGATCGATTGGCCATCGGTTGATTCCGTATTAGCTGGGCACGTGGTCTTGTGGAAATCCTAAAAATCATGTGTCACTATCCCTTTAACCCGATCACCAACCATTTTCTTATCCTCAACATCACGATCGATTGGTCAATAGGCTGATTCCGTATTAGCTGGGCACGTGGTCTTGTGGAAATCCTAAAATCATGTGTCACTATCCCTTTAAACTGATCAACAACCATTTTCTTATCCTCAATCATCACGATCGATTGCCATCGGTTGATTCCGTAAAGCTGGGCACGTGAAGTCTTGTGGAAATCCTAAAATCATGTGTCACTATCCCTTTAAACTGATCAATAACCATTTTCTTATCCTCAATCATCACGATCGATGGCACATCGGCTGATCTCCATAGCTGGGCATGTCGCCCTGTGGAAATCCTAAAATCATGTGTCATCATCCCTTTAAACTGATCACCAACCATTTCATCCTCAATCATCACGATCGATTGGCCAATGGTTGATTCCGTATTAGCTGGGCATGTCGTCTTGTGGAAATCCTAAAATCATGTGTCACTATCCCTTTAAACTGATCACCAACCATTTTCTATCATCCTCAATCATCACGATCGATTGGCCAACGGTTGGTTCTGTATTAGCTGGGCACGTGGTCCTGTGGAAATCCTAAAATCATGTGTCACTATCCCTTTAAACTGATCACCAACCATTTTCTTATCCTCAATCATCACGATCGATTGGCCATCGGTTGATTCCGTATTAGCTGGGCACGTGGTTTTGTGGAAATCCTAAAATCATGTGTCACTATCCCTTTAAACTGATCACCAACCATTATTCTTATCCTCAATCATCACGATCGACGGCACATCGGTTGATTCCGTATTAGCTGGGCATGTCGTCTTGTGGAAACCTAAAATCATGTGTCACTATCCCTTTAACCGATCACCAACCATTTTCTTATCCTCAATCATCACGATCGATTGGCCATCGGTTGATTCCGTATTAGCTGGGCACGTGGTCTTGTGGAAATCCTAAAAATCATGTGTCACTATCCCTTTAAACTGATCACCAACCATTTTCTTATCCTCAATCATCACGATCGATTGGCCATCGGTTGATTCCGTATAGCTGGGCACGTGGTCTTGTGGAAACCCTAAAAATCATGTGTCACTATCCCTTTAAACTGATCACCAACCATTTTCTTATCCCCAATCATCACGATCGATTGGCCATCGGCTGATTCCGGGCTAGCTGGGCACGTGGTCTTATGGAAATCCTAAAATCATGTGTCACTATCCCTTTAAAACTCGATCACCAACCATTTTCATCCTCAATCATCACGATCGATTGGCCATCGGTTGATTCCGTATTAGCTGGGCACGTGGTTTTGTGGAAATCCTAAAATCATGTGTCACACATCCCTTTAAACTGATCACCAACCATTTTCTTATCCCCTCAATCATCACGATCGATTGGCCATCGGTTGATTCCGTATTAGCTGGGCACGTGGTTTGAGGAAATCCTAAAATCATGTGTCACTATCCCTTTAAACTGATCACCAACCATTTTCTTATCCTCAATCATCACGATCGATTGGCCATCGGTTGATTCCGTATTAGCTGGGCATGTCGTCTTGTGGAAATCCTAAAATCATGTGTCACTATCCCTTTAAACTGATCACCAACCATTTTCTTATCCTCAATCATCACGATCGATTGGCCATCGGTTGATTCCGTATTAGCTGGGCATGTGGTCTTGTAAAATCCTAAAATCATGTGTCACTATCCCTTTAAACTGATCACCAACCATTTTCTTATCCTCAATCATCACGATCGATTGGCCATCGGTTGATTCCGTATTAGCTGGGCATGTCGTCTTGTGGAAATCCTAAAATCATGTGTCACTATCCCTTTAAACTGATCACCAACCATTTTCTTGTCCTCAATCATCACGATCGATTGGCCATCGGTTGATTCCGTATTAGCTGGGCATGTCGTCTTGTGGAAATCCTAAAATCATGTGTGCACTATCCCTTTAAACTGATCACCAACCATTTTCTTATCCTCAATTATCCACGATCGATTGGCCATCGGTTGATTCCGTATTAGCTGGGCACGTGGTTTTGTGGAAATCCTAAAATCATGTCACTATCCCTTTAAACTGATCACCAACCATTTTCTTATCCTCAATCATCACGATCGATTGGCCATGGTTGATTCCGTATTAGCTGGGCACGTGGTCTTGTGGAAATCCTAAAATCATGTGTCACTATCCCTTTAAACTGATCACCAACCATTTTCTTATCCTCAATCATCACGATCGATTGGCCATCGGTTGATTCCGTATTAGCTGGGCATGTCGTCTTGTGGAAATCCC